TCTTTTTCCTATCTGTGATATCTTACTCTTAGCTATTGATGTATGACAGGTTATCAGAGTAAAGCATAGTCTCTTAAAGAAATTGGAGTAGACCATGAGAGTTCAATGTGGGTATATAAAAGTTTTACAAAGATATGTTTGATTCTGTTGTGAAGGGGAGCTCCAATGTGACGTAATTTGGACAATTTGGATGGATTTATGTGAATTACAGCGAGTATTACAGAAACAGTTTACAGTGGACACCCCAAGACCACCATTGATTCCGGCAGACAAGAATAATGGAACCACTCGCCGGTCTCGAACAAGAGAAGTTAGTTCTAGATACAAGTCACCTACTCCAGTTGCATCTTCTGGTCCAAGGCGTTGCTCTTCCCCAACTGTCACAAGAACAACAAATTCAAATGTGTCAGTACCAAAAAGAGCTATATCTGCTGAGAGAAAGCGGCCCTCAACGCCACCATCACCACCAAGTCCGTCTCCATCAACACCAGTGCAGGACACATCGACAGATGTGCTTTTGGCATCAAGAAAGGTAGCAGGCAATCAGTTGCCTGAGTCGTTATGGCCGTCTACGATGAGGAGTCTTAGTGTTTCTTTCCAGTCTGATACTTTTTCTCTGCCTATTAGTAAGAGGGAAAAACCAGTTAATCATGCTCTTGCTGATCGGACTCTGAGGCCACCATCCAATGTAGCACATAAGCAGAGTGAAACAATAACCCCTGCTTCACGAAAGCCTACACCAGAGAGAAAAAGGAGTCCACTGAAAGGAAAGAATTCTGCTAATCAGTCTGAGAATTTTAGACCAGTTGAAGGTGTGCATTCTCGACTGGTAGAGCAGCATAGATGGCCTAGTAGAGCAGGTGGAAAATTATCTGCAAATACAGTAAATAGAAGTATTGATCTTGGTGACAAGGCCGGTAGGAATTCATCTTTGCAACAGTCAGGATCTGGGGTACCTTCCTTACGGAGATGGTCCTTGGATGGTATGACTAAGCCTTTACAAAAATCCGCCAGCAACTTGTTGGCACCAGTGTCATCTGATGAAGGTGGGAAACAAGTGATTGGTGATTGCTCAGCTGATGATAATTCATTGCACTTACATAAGCCTGTCTCTTCGAGTTTTTTGGAAAGATCAAAGCTAATGAACGCTGCAATTAGATCTCAGTCTTTACCTGTTCACAGTTCTCGTCCCCCATCACCGAATAAAGCGTCAGTGACCTCATCCACTATTTCACGAGGAGTCAGTCCATCCAGGGCGAAAAGAGTGAGTCCTGTTCCATCAAGAGGGCCAAGTCCATCACGATCAAGACCATCAAGCCCATCAAGACAGTCCAGTAATCCAACTTCTGTTCTCAGTTTCATTGCTGATATAAAAAAGGGAAAGAAGACAGTGAATTACATTGAAGATGCTCACCAACTGCGGCTATTGTACAATAGACAATTGCAGTGGCGATATGCTAATGCTACCGCAGATGCTGTGCTGAGTTCTCAAAAAGAAAAAGCTGAGGTTTGTCTTCTCTTATTTGTGGAACTTTACATGCCTTATATGTGCTGTCAAGTTACATACTATTTAAAGTTAGAAATCCAACATAGCTATCATTGAATAACACAAATATGAACATCTTATATCTCCATGTGTATAATGCTACATTCAGCTTGTTGGACATCAATCCTTTTGTTGGTTTCCATATCTTTTGTCATGGAAAATGCATTGTCACCTGCTAAAATGTGGACTCTGACCTAATATAGATTTCACTGATGAGAAACATGATGATGCAGCTAACGTTATATAGCGTCTGGAGAAGTACGTCAGATTTGCGAGATTCAGTAATCAAAAAGAGAATAAAACTGCAACAGCTAACATTGAAGTTGAAGCTGTACGCAGTTTTGAATGAACAGGTATTCATCATGCCTTAAAATGAAACTTGCATTAGTTTCTGGTGCATGGGTCTAAATGACTCTTTCCATGTGGTTTCCATCATTTATTTCACTTTGAAAGCTTATCAATTAGAATCAAGCAAATGAAATATACAATTTCTGGAAAGAAGCTTTGAGTGTTGTCATTGACTCAAGTATAATGCAACTAAAACGTTCATAACATCAGTAATTGAGTTTTGCTATGCATAGCTGATGAGGATGCAGAAGTAAATGAAAATGATTTTTTTGCAAGAGACTTGCCTTTGCAGTTGCATGGCCTGCCTAATAACAGTGACAATTTATTTCAAATTGATTCTTATGTTTTGCTCGCAGTTGAAGCATTTTGAATTATGAAAGTATAACAATGTTCATGAACTTCATCGTCCAAGCCTGGAATTTAGATATATCATGCTCAAAGTTCTTCAAGTTATCTCTTCATTTATACCCAACTCATCATTGGTGTTTCATTATCCTTTTCAATGATTAGTAAATTGACGCTAAAAAGTAAGTTTTGACATCTCAGCTGGCCTACCTTGATGAGTGGCCAGGAATTGAGAGGGATCATGCTGAATCGTTATCCCAGGCTATCACAGATCTGCAAGCAAGCACTCTCCGCCTTCCAGTCACTGGAGGGGCAAGGGTATGTTGGTCCCATGAGTTACTAAAGCTCATTTCACTAGAAGATGATTGTTAACATGTTCTACATTTTACAGGGAGATATCCAAACTGTCAAGGCAGCTGTTTGCTCAGCAGTGGATATAATGCAGGCAATGGGATCCTCCATATGTCTTATACTGTCACAGGTACTCTTCATCAAGGCTTGTAGATGCTAATCGCTCTTAAGGCAAAAATGTATTGGGTTTCATTAGGAAAGTTGCATATTTCCTGGATTTCCCTTGGCCGTTTGGACCTTATTTAATTGGTCATCTGGTATTATTAGCTTTATCGCATAAATTCACGTTACAGCACCTGAAAACAATAACAAATTTAAGTACCTTGGCAACAGACCTTTTCCTTGATTTTCTGAGTCACATAATCCTTGAGTTGGTTATTTTTGATAAATTTGTTCGAGAATAGCTTAATGGGATGCTACATGCTGTTTATTATTAAGATGGATCCTGTGATGAGGTGTAATTTGTTTTGACAAAGATGTACATGATGACATGTCTTCTTCTTGAAGATTCCATGAGAACATGTTATAGGCTCATATTGCTCTGACAAAGAAATGTAAAAGCAATCTCAACCATATGTAGATAGATTAATTAGAAATATGCTTTTAAACATCTGATCTTATTGCTGCTTCTGCAATCTGATTCAATACTGTCATGTAAACAACTGGTATGCTCTTAAGTCTTGAACTTTCATCTTTTATCCATTCAGGTGGAGGAAATGAACTGCCTGGTTTCTGAACTTGCTGACGTGGTAGCTCAAGAAAGAGCAATGCTTGATTTATGTGAGGCTCTCTTTGCGTCAACATCTGCAATGCAGGTAAAGTCTAGTTTCTAAGTGATGTTATTAGCTGTAGTGTGGAGTCCGTATATACACTGAGTGTGCATTTTGCATTCTTCTCCAATTTCCATTCCCTCTTTCTTTTTCCATTTTTTTCCTCCTTGCCAGCTCTTCCTCTGCCACACCTTCCTCATTTAGTTTGTGGACCGAATGAAAGTTGTACCTCTTGTGAAGCTTGGAGGACCATTTCAAAGTACATAAAAACTATTTGTGTTGTGAATAATTGTCCCTTATCAAATGGCAGATTCATGCCATACGACATTTTAAGCTTATTATTTCTGAGATACGGGATAAAAGAATGCACATAACCACAAATCGATATAAAGTAAATGAGAATCATTAAACTGACTTTTAGTGTTTAAGGATGAAACTAGGATGTTATTTAGTTCTTCATACATGAAAATCAACCAATAGGTATTAATCAGGATGAGTTTTCATATTCATTACTGTCTCTTTTAAAATCCCACGTGATTAAGGTGTAAAATGCCATTTGAGCGACGGCTGAACATTTTTTGTTAAGCGTTTGCATAAGACCTGTTTGTCCTGATGCCATACAAGGTTCATGACATAATGAACTGCTGCAACAGCCGTATTCTTCTTATTCTCTAGTTATTACTTCTGTTTTGGTAGTTATACCAAGTTGGAAGATGAAGGTATGTCATGGTGATTGATGTTGGCAACTGTTTTTTCGATGGCCTTAATTATTTTTGAGAATCTGATGTATCCCACTGGATAAGGATCTTTATTCCTTTTCGCAAAATGATGGTTTGATTGTTTACCATCTCCATTGCCCTTCCCCTTTTCGTTTCTTCCTTTCAACTCCATCTAGAAAGAATGTTTTGAATTTCCTTATGTTGGTTTCTGGAGATCACCACATCATCCCCTAGATTACGTAAACAGGTCCTCTCTCTCTCTCTTTTAGAACTTGGTTTGCGGAATATCTTCTGTAAGGTCTCTTTTAAGTATACTTGTACAACATACGGGTTGATATCTATAATGTTGGTCTTAATGTAGGTAGAGGAATACAGCCTTAGAACCCATCTTGTACAGTTGAAAGAAGCTTGGATAAATGATCAATTGATCTCTGGGAATTAAGGAAACCAACGGAGGCTTCCACAAGGAACACTAACAACTTTCTTAAGGAAGAAAGTGATACTGCCGTCATAGCTATTAGAGAGTGTAAAATGAAATATATAATTTATGTAGGCATCTTTTTTTCTTTTTAACCCTGGTAGAATTGTGTAATTTAGTAATTATCTTTTTCTTCAATTTTTACTTCTTTACTGAAGGGGCAATTGTAATTGCTCTATCAGTTTTCATGTAATTTTTGTCTCGTGATTGAATGAAAATGCAACAAAGAAGAGGGGTTAAATTTAGAGAGAATTTTTCTCAACAGTTCATCTATAATACGTCTTCTTCTCTCATCTTATATAATATTGGCCTCTGAAGGTACTGATATATAATTTTCTTTTCCTTCACGTACTATTTTCTATCACTAACGTGGTTCGTGATTCTTGGGATGAACGAGTGGATCGTATGACTTTTTGTTCGCATGAATGTGTGAAAATCCAGATGCACAGAAAGTTGGCTAATAGATGTGTTACAGAAAGTGTAGCTGTAAATTGAACTCTGAAAAAAGGTTAAAAACTGCTACATGCCCTGCAAGACAGGCAAATTTAACAAAATTAGGATGTCAAAGCTCTTGATTTTCTTTGAGATCAGTTGATCCGTTGTTTCCTTTTTCCATACTATGATGCTTCTCTGGGATTCACTTTGCCAGACACCCTATCAGCAACCTTCTTTGCCTACAAAAGGGGCCAAATAAAAAAGAGATATTGGAACCGCTTGAGCAAAATTGCAGAAAATTACAGAAGAAACTGTTTTACCTCTTTCTCCCAATTCATTCGCACAGTTATTATTCCAAGAAGTGATGCTTGTGCAGCAAGCGCCACAATAATGCCAATCCAAAGCCCCTGTGCACCATATTATGATCAGACAAGATTATTTGTCATTTAGCTTCCTGTGGCTAGGTACTTTATTGGAAGTTGTTGTGGAACAGAGGAAATGTGGAGGAATGGAAGCAATGCAGTCCAAGTGTACCTTTCCTCCAACATGATAGACAAATGCTAACAGTATAGCAGAAGGTATTCCCAACAAATAATAAGCTCCCAAATTGATGATTGCACCTACCCTTTGCCAGCCACATCCTCTTGCAGTGCCTGGAATTCATTTGGATAGAAGCTTTGATAAAAGAACATTTTATCCTTGAGAATATGATCTAAAGCCATATTAGCCCTTGACTTAGAGATGAAAATGACAAAAATGTGAATGTACAAAGAGTGAAATTTACAGAGATTCATGCAGATTAAAAACTCATATTGCTCGCACTTCTGTAAGTTTAGTTTTACCATAGTTTTACCCTTAAAACCTCTAAATTTCCATGACTGAAAAGAAAATTGGAAGTTCTGGTGTCAATGAAGGTGTCTAGTTAACTACAAATTTTGGGGGGTTTTTTTTTTAATAAGTTGCATTCTAAGATCAGAATTAATGTCAAGAGATGGACTTGCGAAACACCTTTCATTAGAACTATTATATGGAGATATTGACAGACCTGAAAGTACGGTTTGAATGCCCTCTAGAATATGTGATCCTGCAAGCAAAAGCATCATATCTGCTACATATCTCACTACCTTTTCTTCTGTGCTATTGCAGTAGCCCCATACTTTGCGCAAAAGGATGAGGGATGTTGATGCCAAAACACCTTCCGTCAAAACAACCAAAAGTCCAATGCATGCTGCTAAACGAGCTTCATATGGCCTACCAGCCCCGAGTTCATTTGAGACTCTTGTACTGAAGAAGAAGAACCAAACTTTCCAAACTCAGTAGACAGTTATTAAGGGGTGTGTGTGGGGGTGGGGAGCATGGTTCAAAGTTTCGGTCGAGGTCACGGTTGCGGCTCGAACCGTTCCACACTGGTCTCGGCATATCGGTCGCGGTCTCAACAAGATGCAAATTTTGAAGTATTTAATATTTTAAAAATTGTGAATAATATAAAACAATATGCTAAACAAAAATAATAAAAAATTAGTAAAAGAAAATCTGTAAAATGTACTTTTTTTGTTGGATTTAAATTGACTCGAGATGACTCTGTATGACTCGGCCATTTCTATCCTTATCAGAGACTTCTCGGCCAAGTTTTTGGCAATCTATGTATCTCAGAGACATCTCGTCCCGGTATTGCAAACCGAGAGCTCGCTCTGGTGACCACTCGGCCGATTCTTTGAACCATGGTTGGGAGGGGCCCCCGGGGGGTAGAGAATAGTTAAATCACCTGATGGCACCACCAAGTCCTAGCGGCATCATGTAAATCATGCTACATGTGTTAAGGCTGCAATGCACACCTTTGTAAGTCCAAAAAAGTTGCTTACTCATTGCTGATCAAATTTCAATGGAATTTTTAGGGACTAACCTGATGGAAAGAACTGATGTTTCTAGCTTTGGATTTGGAAGAAGACCAGACAGCAAAACCATCATTTCAAATGACCAAATCTCTAGGCTGTTTCACAGCATGATATGATTTATTTGCTATGGGTAAGAGTTGAAATTAGGAGGAGACGTGCATGCAACAAGGGGAATAGAGAATTACCAGGTCATTATAGCAGAAGGAATTGCCAGTGTAAGAAATTTCCAGATATGATGAAATGCTTCCTTGGAAAATCCAGTCCAAGTCATTTTACAGGAAGGAGATAACCTAATATACAACGCTAACAACAACACATTGATCCAATACGAAACGGAGCTAGCCAGAGCAGCACCTCTGCTTCCGAGGCCTGATTTAAATACGAGAAGCCAACACATGAGTAAATGAACTAATGTTATAATTCCAGTAGTAAACATCATAGGAAAGACATTATTTTGGGCTTGCAGAAATCGGATTTGGCAGTATAGGAGCGCAACAGCAAAGATGCCTGGTATCAGAAAGCGGGCATACACTTCAGCTTCAAATGATATTTCAGGATCTTGCCCCACAAACGCAAGAATACGCCCTGTATTTGCCCAAATACATGTAAGAGGGATGCAGGTAAGTAAAAGGACGACCATAGCTCTCTGCATATGAATTCCCAGCATTCGATAGTGTTTTGCTCCATAGGACTGACCGCAGAATGTGTCCAATGCACCAGACATCCCATTCTACCCAAAAAAAAAGGTATGCCATGATCGCATATAAAATATGATTTTGAAGTTCATCAAACACTTAGATATGCACAGCATGAGGCTCATTTGTCTTCAACTAGCTTTTGTAAATGTATTATGCCTGCAGTTCCTAAGCATATCAGTTTTGAGTTTCATACTTGGCATCTACCTTTAAATATTTCTCCACAACCATAAAAACAGTTTTTTTTTTCGTTGTCAACAATTGGATTTGATGCTGCTAATATCGATGCATTTTCAAATTATCAGAGATTAATCAGATCTCAAATACCTAAACAACATGAGAACATCAGCAAAAATCAAGTAACAATTGTTGTCTCAGCAATACAACAGAGTTAATTTGGAAATTATTCCAAAAAAATTGTCCTCCTGAAACCGATTAAGCTTCAGGTGTGAAACTGAACCTCAAACAACTTGATTACACCGAATAAAATTCAAAAATCAAGGCTGATTTTACTTGTAGAACAAGTATATTATCACTTACCAACAAGCTGAAACCAGTTACTGAAGCGAATGAAGTAGCCAAAGAAGCACCAGAAAGAGCTAGCTCTCCAAGATGGCCAACAAACATGAGGGCGATCACCTGCAAAGCAAATATCAAGAAGTTGACCAAGATCAGAGGCCCTGCTAGTGCCAAGAGCTTCTTCACTTCTGCCAAGAAATCGGAATGCTTTGTACTGGATCCCTGAACTCCTGATGAGACTGGAATAAGTGGGGATTCCAGTCCATGGCTTATGTTTTTCTCATCCATATTTCCCCTTTCTCAACTCTTCTCTCACAAGGATCAGATTGTGAAGAACTCAGCATCCCCCTTCAGATTTATGAACTGTTGTCAATGAAAGAGATCTTAACATCATTGTCTATGTGTTGTGGTACAGAACTGGAAAATGATGCAGGAACTGGAAATAATTGGAATTAATCTAAAAGTAAGATCGGAACACAAGCTGAGTTGAATTCGTAAATCAATTGCACTTTTATTGAAGAAACTTCAAGAGATACAGAAATGGGAAATGGCGGGAAAGGGGTAGAAGGGGAAAAAGAATGCAGGAAGAACTTGGGGAAGAAACAAGGATATTCTCCTTTTGGTTACAAAATTCAAATGAAATCCGATGCCAACAATTACATAATTTCCCTTTTTTATAGAAAGCTAATCTAACTAACTCCTCCCACTTGCTAATGAAACGGTAATGCATGTGAAGAGGAATCTTCTGGAATGTCTGGTGCAAACACAGCAAGAATGGCATGAACCCAGAAAAAACGTGTTTTCCAGTCCACGCCTCTCGCGTCCCTCGCACCTTTCCTTTCCTTGCTTTCACGCCTTTGTCCTCCTGATGCAATGCTGATGTCCGTTCTGCTTAACTCGCGACTTCTTCATCCCACTTCGCTCTTGATCACGCTTTCCTCTATTTGTACTTCACGCCTTCTTCCTTCTATCCTTTGTTTCATTACAATACCTCCCCCTTAACTGCAAATCTTGTCCTCAAGATTGAAACGTAGGAAACTGCGCTTTGATCTCCTCAGCATCCTCCCAGGTGGCTTCTGCAGGGTCTGTTCCCCACCAGTGGATCAGCCATTGAGTTACTGCAGCATTCTTCTTTTTTACCATTCTTCTGCTCAAAACTGCCTCTGGTTCCACTCTCCAGTGCCCCTTCTCATTTATCTCTGGCAAATGGAGGATAGGAGTGACTCTGTTTCCCACCTTCTTTTTGAGCAAAGATACATGAAAGACAGGGTGAACTCTGGAGGATTTTGGCAAGTTCAACATGTATGCTACCCCCCCCCCAATCCTTTCCTCTACCTGATATGGGCCAAAATACCTTGCTGACAGCTTAGTGTTTCCCCTCAGAGCCACTGAACTCTGTCTATAAGGTTGTAGCCGTAGGTATACCCAATCTCCCACACTGAACTCCCTCTCACTCCTTCTTTCATTAGCATACTTCTTCATCCTTTCCTGAGCCTGTTTCAGGTTCTGTTTCAACATGATATCCAACTGCTGCCTTTCCCTGAGGTATTCTCCTACTGCATCTACCCTGGACTGTAGGTAGGGTCCTAGAGCCAGTTGTGGAGGTGAGAATCCATATAATGCTTCAAACGGAGTCATTTGAATGGCTGTGTGGTGCGAGGTGTTGTACCACCATTCTGCCAAAGACAACCACTGATTCCATCTCTTAGGCTCCACATGAGTTAGGCACCTGAGGTACATTTCGAGCACCTGGTTTACCCTCTCAATCTGGCCATCAGTCTGAGGGTGGTAAGCTGTGCTGTAATTTAGTTTGGCCCCCAACATACTGAACAATTCCCCCCAAAATTGGCTTACAAATATCTTATCCCTGTCTGAAAGCATGCTTTGAGGTATTCCATGAAGTTTACTGACCTGGTCAATAAAAAGTCTGGCCACCTTAGGGGCATCAAAAGGATGTGCCAAGCTGATGAAGTGAGAGTATTTGGTGAATCTGTCTACTACAACCATTATGGTGTCTTTTCCTTCAGACTGTGGTAGCCCTTCAATAAAGTCCATGGTAACATGGCTCCAGGAGTATTGAGGAATAGGGAGTGGCTGTAGTAATCCTGGGTAGGCTACATGTTCATCCTTGCACTTTCTGCAGGTGTCACACTCTAGAACTGCTTTCTTGATTTCCCTGTACATCCCTGGCCAGTAAAATAGCTGCTTGGCCCTCAGGTAGCTAGCTTGGATGCCTGAATGGCCTCCCAGTTGGGAGTCATGCAGTGCAGTAATGAGTTTATGCCTGGTGTCACCTTGTCCTCCTATGGCTAGTCTCTTCTTGTATCTGAGGATACCATCCTGGTAGGAGTAATCTGGAGCTTGTGAAGGAGTCAGAAGCACCAAGGATATGATCTTCTGAGCCCACTCGTCACCCTTATAGCTCTCCATGACTTCTCTGATCCACTCAGGAACTGCACAAGAAATGGCAGTGCACTCTCCCCCTTCTTCTCTGCCCTGTCTGGATAGTGCATCTGCAGCCAGGTTATCCCTTCCCTTCTTGTAGTGGATTTCGTAGCTCAATCCTAGCAGCTTAGTGAGCCATTTCTGTTGGAGAGGGGTAGTAATCCTCTGATCCAGTAAGTACTTTAAGCTCTGATGGTCAGTATGTATGATGAAATGATGCCCCTCTAGGTAGTGCCTCCATTTGGTTACTGCTGTTACCAATGCTAGCAATTCTTTCTCATAGATGGATAGTCCCATGTTCTTTTGTCCCAGAGCTTGACTGAGGTAGGAAATTGGTCTCCTGTTTTGCATGAGTACAGCCCCTATGCCAGAGTAGCAAGCATCTGTCTCAATTATGAATGGTTGAGTGAAATCTGGCACTGCTAAAACAGGGGTGGTACACATGGCCTTCTTTAGTGTTTGGAAAGCCTGTTCTGAGTCTTCATTCCAGTGAAAGTTGTCCTTCTTCAACAGATCAGTCAGTGGTCTTGCTATGGCACCATAGCCTCTAACAAACCTTCTGTAATATCCTGTCAATCCCAGGAATCCCCTCAGCTGTTTGATATTGGTTAGGTTGGGCCATTTCTCCATGCATTCTATCTTTCTGGGATCAGCCTGAACTCCTTCTGCTGTTATTATATGCCCCAGGTACTCTACCTGCAGTTGAGCAAACGAGCATTTGCTCATTTTAGCATATAACTGGTGCTGTCTTAAGATACTCATCACCTCCTCTACATGCTTCACATGCTCCTCTAATGTTGAGCTGTAGACCAGGATGTCATCAAAAAACACCAGCACATGCTTCCTCATCTGATCTTGGAAGACCTGGTTCATCAAGCTTTGAAAAGTTGCTGGGGCATTGGTTAAGCCAAATGGCATAACCTTGAACTCATAGAGCCCTTGGTGAGTTCTGAAAGCTGTTTTTGAAATATCCTCCTCTTTGACTCTGATTTGAAAGTAACCTGCCCTCAGGTCAATTTTGGTAAAAAACTTGGCTCCATGCAATTCGTCTATCAACTCTTCAATCAGAGGCATAGGAAACTTGTTTTTTATTGTAAGCTCATTTAGTTATCTGTAATCGACACAGAACCTCCATGTCCCATCTTTCTTCTTAACTAGTAGTACTGGTGAGGCAAAGGGGCTACTGCTAGGCTGTATGATGCCTAGTTCTAGCATCTCCCTTACCAGTCTCTCGATTTCTGTTTTCTGGATGTAGGGGCACCTGTAAGGTCTTACTTGAAAAGGCTTGGCTCCTTCCTTAAGGTCGATCTGGTGTTCATGGCCCCTGACTGGAGGCATTCCCTTGGGTTCCTCAAAGACATCCTTGTATTGCTCTAGTATCTGACTGATCTCAGCAGGCAGCTGTGTTGCACTTCCCTCTTCTTCTACTGCTACCAGCTGAGCCACCACCCCATATGACTGTTTCCTCAACCATTTTGCCAACCTTCCTCCATTGAGCCCTTTCAGTTTGGTGATGACACCCTCCCTTTTTAGCACCACTTCCTGACTCCTCTGGTGGATTTTCATGCTGAGTTCTCTGAAATTGAACTCTATAGGACTATGTTTGGCCAACCAGTCTACCCCAAGGATCATGTCACAGCCCCCCAACCTTAAGGTGTTGAAGGCCTGTTGGAACTGGTGTCCCTGCATTTCCCACTGCAAGGGCTTATCCAGTCCCTTGGAATCCACCGTCTCTCCATTAGCTACATTGACAACCAGGTTTGGTCCCTGAGTGCCCAGTTTAAGATCCCTGGCCAGTTGCTCATCCAAAAAACAGTGGGTACTTCCACTATCTATTAATGCAGTTACCAGTCTCCCTTTAACCAGACCCTTTAATTTCATAGTCCTGTGACTTTCCCCCAGCCAAAGCATGAACAGATACTTCTATGTGTTCATCTGACAGTTCCCCATTAATGCAATCACAGTAAACTTCCTCTTCTGGCTCTCTGGCCTCTTCCCTAGTCTCAGTCTCTTCAGCTAATAGGAAATGCACATGTGATTGTTTGCATACATGACCCATGGTATATGGTTCAGCACATTTATAACATAGCCCCTTCTCCCTTCTCAGGTTAAATTCTGTAGGTGATATTTTTTTGAATTGGTTCTGGTTGGATGTTTTCTGGTCTTGGTTCTGGTTGGGGTGTTTTGGGTGGTTTTGGTTCCATCTGAGGGCTGGGGTTATTTTAGTGGGAGGTCTATGGTTGCTGAAGTTGGTAGTGGCAGGTTTCTGCATTTTCTGAATAGCTTTGAGGTTTTTCTCTTGGAGTTTTGCTAATTCAATAGCAACAGCTAAGGTTTCAGGTTTAGACATTTTAACCATATTAACTATCTCCTCTTTTAGACCACTCATGAAGCATGCTTTGTAATATGAATCAGACAAGTGAGGTAAGGATGGCATTACCAGTGCTTTCAGCATTTCAAATTTTTCAAGGTAGTCAGCCACGGATCCAGTCTGCACCAACTTGTTGAATTCTTCAATGGCCTCCTCTGGACTCCCCTCTCCAAATCTGATACTCATAGCAGTAGACAACTCTGTCCAGGAAATGGTCTCTCTCCCATGGAAGACCCCATGGAACCAGATATCAGCTCTGTCCCTGAAATAGAGTTCAGCTATCTCAGCTTTCATGTTCTCCTCTATCTCATATATTTTGAAATATTTATCAGCCTTCCTGATCCACTCTCTGGGGTTATTCCCCTCGAAAATTGGCAAATCCATTTTAGGCAGTCTTCCACTAATTCTGTTATCTCTTTTACTGACTGTTTCCTTCTGCAAATCCAACCTGGACTCGTTTGGCCTATCCTCCCCCTTTGAGCTGCTACTTCCTTCCAGCTCCTTTCCTCGATCGCTAACTTTGGCCATTAATTGAGCCATCATATTCATCATCCCTTCATACTTCTGATCCAATCCTTTGAGCAGCTTTTCAGTAGCATCCTGTCTGAATTCCATTGTCCTGATGGCCTGTTCCATTCCATCATTTTTGTTGGAAAAAGTCCTGACCACACTTCCTAGCTCCACCACGTCTCTCCTCAACGCTTCATCCTGATTTTTTGTCATCCCTATGGCTCGTGATCGAGCTCTGATACCACTGTTGTGGTACAGAACTGGAAAATGATGCAGGAACTGGAAATAATTGGAATTAATCTAAAAGTAAGATCGGAACACAAGCTGAGTTGAATTCGTAAATCAATTGCACTTTTATTGAAGAAACTTCAAGAGATACAGAAATGGGAAATGGCGGGAAAGGGGTAGAAGGGGAAAAAGAATGCAGGAAGAACTTGGGGAAGAAACAAGGATATTCTCCTTTTGGTTACAAAATTCAAATGAAATCCGATGCCAACAATTACATAATTTCCCTTTTTTATAGAAAGCTAATCTAACTAACTCCTCCCACTTGCTAATGAAACGGTAATGCATGTGAGGAGGAATCTTCTGGAATGTCTGGTGCAAACACAGCAAGAATGGCATGAACCCAGAAAAAACGTGTTTTCCAGTCCACGCCTCTCGCGTCCCTCGCGCCTTTCCTTTCCTTGCTTTCACGCCTTTGTCCTCCTGATGCAATGCTGATGTCCGTTCTGCTTAACTCGCGACTTCTTCATCCCACTTCGCTCTTGATCACGCTTTCTTCTATTTGTACTTCACGCCTTCTTCCTTCTATCCTTTGTTTCATTACACTATGTAAATTCATTAATGCAATACTATCATGCGCCGGATGTTGTTGCTACTGTTAGTTAGAATATTTATGTGGCCAACCGCCTACGTGACCACATATGATATTTTCCGTTAATTAGAAGGATAAATAACCATATGAATAAGGGAAAAGAGTTCAAATGGCCCTCCAACTCTTACTCAGGTAAAGTTTTGGCCCTCCAACAATTAAAGATAAACTTTTGGCCCTCGATCTAACAAAGTAGCATAATAGTGACCCTTCTGTCAAATCCAGCAGTTAACTATGATGGGAAGTTTCGCCACCAAATATGAAGGGCACTATCGTCTCTAAAGGATGGTTGACCAAGCAAAGAGAGAGTAAAAAAGGTTGCTTCTTCTCTTACCTTAAGTTAGAGCAACAAAAATCTCCATCCAGTCAAAGTTGGAGCTGAAAATGCGAAGAATGAACAGTTCCTCTCTATCGGTGTGCAGATGTGAGAAAGAGACTAGGGTGATTACTTCGTGGATTTCAAAAAATCCTGGGCGAAGGTTTGCTGTGTGTGCAGAAGGTTGCCGCAGATATTGGGCATGGATCGATGAGGAGATGTGCCGACGAGCTACAGAAATTATACCTGGCCTTCTTCGAAAGATTAATGCAACTGAAAAGGATAGAGATGAATACGAAGAAATGGCAAGAAGAAATGAAAGAAAGGTAACAAAATTGAAGGAAAAAAGTTAAAGAATTGGAGAAAGACATTCGCAGCAAGAAATGGGTTAATAAGTTGCTGGTCAAATTGCTTTTTTTAACATGAATATTGATTTCTTTAATTTTGATAAGTTGGGGCCAAAAAAATGGAAACCTTGTCAGTTTTCGGCAAATACAAGGTGCTTGCAAACACCTGGCCCTTTCCAAGTTAAAGTTTGCAGAGGAAGAAGATGATCCAAATTGTTCATTTTAATGTAAATTTTTTATTTATAGTTGTATGATGTATCTGCAAAGCTTGAATCAAATCTGTGTTTGTGCTGGTTCCAATGAAATATCTGCTCATCTCTTTTTATTAAATAAAAGTGTTGTAGTTCATTTGTTCGACTCAATCAATGAATTGGTTTGGTATTGTGCTTAGAAAGAAGGCATAATAATGGTGTGAGAAGAAAAAGCAGATAAAGCCATGCTGTATACATCATAATAATCACTTGACAATGAGCATCAAAAGGAACTGCTATAATACAAAGTTGCTGCTCAGCATGTATCCAACAAGCAATTGCTAGACAAAAAAAAACAGAGAAGAACTGCTAGACAAAAAGAAACAGAGAAGAACTGCTAGACACAAAAACATGTTCTGATATGGTAATGAATTGTCATCATCAGTTTACACAACATAAGACAAAAAGAGTTTATTAAAAAAAAGGAAATGGGTCTATCATGGCTGAGTTCCTCTTCTAGTAGCTGTTTCTTCTCCCATTTCTCTGGCACCTTGTCTTCCTCTTCCTCTGCCTCTGCCTCTGCCTCTTCCACACCATCTCCCCCTCCAGTTGTCAACTGTGAATGGGGGTTCTTTACCCAAATAAGTATAGTTCGCATTAATGGCTCCTTTTTCTGCATCAGTAAGCGGCTTTGTAGCTGAGTTTTTTCTTCGCTGTGAATGATGATGTTGTTGGCTCTGTTGTTGATGTTGCTGTCCAGTTTCATCGCTAGCCTGCTGCGTTTGTTGCTGCAAATTTTGAGAAGACTGGCCTGATTCCTTATTCTTATCAAAATTGTAAATGACACGTGTAAATACATGGTGGATGCAGAATAGTGAAAAATTAACAGCAATTGCAAGCACTTACTGGCCTCTCTTTTTCTACTGATTGCTGCCTCTGCTGATTACTCGGTTGAGCCTAGAATGACTTGTTAGAACATTGTTGTGTTTCTTCATTGGGAGGCTTCTTGCACGTAGCTGCGTTATGACCAACCTCACCGCATTTTCTACAATGAATGACAATCCTCCTCCTCAACCTTCTACCATGATCCCCCCCTCAGACACATTCCTTGTCCTGGCCTTTTTAGGCCTACCAGGTTGAGTAACTGGTATTGGTGGATCCAACACAGGCATGGTGGATGAGGGCCAATGATCCTCGCCACTAATTGGCTGCAAAACATTCTCATAAATCTTGAAGAAGAGGCATCTGCTATAAGAACGATCCAGATAATTGTAAGGATCCTCTTCTCGCATGAAGATAGCAGCAATTGCATGACAGTAGGGAATTCCACTAACCTCCCATAATCTGCAAGTACAATATTTTTTTTGCATATCTACTGCAAATTGAGCTCCTCTTGAACCCTTGACTTGATAGCCATGCAGTGCATTCCAAATGGGCATCCACTGACTTGAATGTTTGACCCTAGTCTGAACAATCTCATTAATTAAAGGTCCAGTGGAACCCTTGTATTTCTCCATTGCAGCTCGTCTTCTTTGGATCCTACCCATAAGATATTCCCTTATCAGTTCCAACATTGTGATGATAGGTTGGTCCCTTGCATCTTTAATATGAGCATTGAAGGACTCGCATAGGTTATTCACTATCATATCACTCTTCATGTGAGTTGGAAAGAATGCTTTGCACCAATGTCGAGGATGAGGAGCTTTCTTGACCCATTCATATGCATCCTTATCAAAAGTTTGAAGTTCTTCCATTGCTTTGTCGTACATTTTCACTGTTGTGCAACATGCTATATTCCACATCCTATCTTTAAGAGCCAAACCAGAATGCTTTTTCTTGAAATTACGGTACATATGTTGCACACAGTACCTGTTTTTACAAAGTCATTTAAGTCGTTATTAAACAATTGAAAAATTATAATGCAAAAAAAAGCTTGATAAAAATACCTGTGCTCACATCCAGGTAGAACATCACTAAGTGCCCTGTCTAACCCCTAAAATGAAATCATGATACACTGTTAGCTTCTACCATATTTGAATCAAATTTTGAATTTCAAAGTTTCATATCATACCTTTTGCTGATCTGATATAAAAGTATAGTGGCACTGATTTTCGATTTCCAAGTCCTCACTTAGATATTTGAGAAACCAAGTCCACTGCTCAGTTGCTTCTCTCTCCACAACTGCCCAGGCAATAGGCCACCATCCATTGTTCGGGTCTGCAGCAATGGCAGTTAGTAACTGTCCTCTATAAATCCCCTTTAGATGGCAACCATCCAGGTCTATTATTGGCCTACAGCCATCCTCGAATCCCTTCTTCAGTGGTTCTAAACAGCAGTATAACCTCATGAATTTAGGATTCCCCCTGGTCCTCTAAATGGAGTAAACATTATCTCCATTGTACTCCCTTCATGTGTCTTCTTTATCTCAGCACAATACTCCCAAATTTTCTTGTATTGGACTTCAGCCGACCCCTGTATCATTTTGATAGCCAACTTCCTCGCATTAGAAGCCACCCATTTAGAAATTTGGGTTTGATACTCCTCATGCACTGTTTGTCTAATCTCCCGAGTTGGCATGCGAGTGTTTGATCTAATTCTCTCCAGATATCTATTTGACAACCAATTGACCTTCAAATTTTTATTTTTCCAGGCATGATTACAGTTTTCATGCTTGTCATACATTGTCTTCACCACCAAATCTGCTGTGCCAAGTGCCTTTTCAACTGAGACAAACACATACCATGGACATGGATCTTTACACCTGGCTCTCACCCTCTTTGGTTCATTCTTCTTTGTGTACACTGACTTTCCCATCTTAATTCCATATTCTTGGATAGCAGCTTTGAATTGGGCTCTTTGACTCAAATTTCAAACCTAACTCGAACCTTGTATCAATCTTAAATTTTTTCCAGGAAAAATCTTTATACCTACCAGCATATTGCTCAGCTTCTTGATCTTCCTCTGATGAATCAGCATCACTACTTAGATGATCTGGGATTGTATCTTCTGCCAACGCATCTACTTCTGGTGCAGAATCTTGGGTCTGCTGCTGCTGTTGTGTTTTTCTTTTTCGCCTTACTTGTTTTTTTTTTTTTTGCTGTGTTTGCTGTTGTTCTGGGGACTTTTGTGTTTCAGCTTGTTGGGTAGCAGCCTGTTCAGTAGTAGCCTGCTCAGTTGCTTCTCCTCCCTGCTATGAAGGTCCTCTAGTTTGCACCTCTTCTAATGTGCTTCTACACTGAGTTGGCTCCAATGTCAAATCATCAAGAAGATCCTCATCTCTACAGTATTCTACATCACCATTGAATCTGTCACATTCATTTTCTGATCCAGAATCTTCATCATCTCCTCCATTTCCTTCATCTTCATTAGGCTGTTGACACCTCAATCCTTCTTGTGTTGTATTAGTTTCTCCAACATGCTGCTGGCTATGACATGCTTGTGCATCACCACTTTGTCCTCCAGTTGAAGTCACTACATGCTGCTGCTCAGGTTGCTGCTCACTTAAGGACCCTACATGTTGCTCAGGTTGTTGCTCAGGTTGCTGCACATGTTGCTGGTCACTTAAGGACCCTACATGATGCTCCTCATGAATATATGCTTGTGCATCACCACTTTGTTCACCAATGTGCTGGTTCTTGGTTGTTCTTCTATTTCTACTCTGTCCTCCAGTTGAATCTCTAATTAACAGTCTCCTCTTAGGAACTAGGTGAGAAAAAGATTCCTCTACTACACTACCCTTCTCATCCAACTCTTCTATCAAAATACCAGTCTTCTTCTTCTCTGTTGGTTGGATCACTATGGGAGACTTGCAACTATTAATTTCTTCAACTGTTAGATGGTTACAATAGACTTCCATTACCTTGTACTTATAAGCCCAATCACAAAATTTGTTAACATCATCATCGGTGCACAACTCTCTTAAACCATTTGTTAGATCCTTATTTGGTTCAAGGTAGTAATACATTATGGCAGCATTGCGATGTCCCATTTTCTCCACCATTTTATTTAGTCGAATGGTTGACATTCTTTCGGCATCACAAAGGTCTACATAGTCCACCTCTCCATTAGCATACCATACATACTGTTCCCACATAATTCTACCCCCATGATGCATCTGAATAGTAAACCATTCAGAATCAGTCTCTACAATAGCAATTGGGATAAAACAGTCAACAAAAAACACACACAGGCTGACAAATGAAATACTGAATTGGTCAGTATTCAGCCAAAAAAAAATTACCCTAAACAAATAAAGTGTCCCTTTTCAGCCATTAAAATACATCACTTTCAAAACAACCTCGTTTGTCCGACATTGTCAATTTACAACAACCAAAGTAGGACCACAAATTGGACCACTTACCCTCCCAACATCACCATTACCCCAACATATAAACAAATAAGTCTCATTACACATGCATATAGTAAACAAATAAGTTTCAGTACACATTACCCAAACATATAAACAAATCTTAAACCCAAATGGGGTAGTAAACAACAATTTCAATTACCGTAAACAAGGTACGAATCAAAGTAGTCATCTTTCCTCCATATTTGCCACTTCATTTCTGCCTACACAACCCCTCCCACGCCGGTAATTACCACTTTCGCTGCAGCGTCCGGATTGAGTACTCTGATTTAAGTCGCACTGGGGTTTTACAGCAAAGGGGGTGAAAATTGTTAGAGGAAAAATTGTTGGTGAAACTGTTTTTACTCTGTCTTGGCAAAGAGACTATAGTGCCCTTCATATTTGGTGGCGCGTCTCACGAGATGAAGCTTCCCGTCATAGTTAACTGCTGGATTTGATAGAAGGGCCACTAATATGATACTTTGTTAGATCGAGGGCCAAAAGTTTATCTTTAATTGTTGGAGGGCCAAAACTTTACCTGAGTAAGAGTTGGAGGGCCATTGGGACTCTTTTCCCTATGAATAAATATGAATAATTAATTACAGAATTCTAATGAGAATAGATGACTGGAGGAAGTAGGGAGTCCCATATTCGTTGTATGTGGACGTATTATATGTGGTATTTTTATTTGATAATTACAGTGATTATTAAGTTGTATCTTATTATGAGCTGTATCTTATCATAATAAAGTATCATATATCTAAAGTAATTAGAGTCTATCATAATTCTATGATGGGAGGGATTGTGACTCTATAAATACTCTAGGGCTCCTGGTCCCTCTCACCACTCTGACATTCGTTATTTTTACCCATCACTACAATAACATAATAGAGAGTCAGGTGAGGGAAGGCTAGACAGCAAAGGGTTATAGTTTACAACCTTGGTGATTGGAAGGCTTGCTGAAAGGGCTGTAGAATTCTTCTCCAAAATGTCTTCAATATCTCAAGGTATGTTACTCTAGAATTTATTTATTAATTATAATTTACAAATCATACTAAAGATCCTGCTCCTTATATCTAACATGTGGTATCAGAGCATTGGGTTGATGCTTATGATTTGTAAATTTATTATGTTAGTAATTTTATTGGGTTTGCATAAAATTTGATATACAATCGAATGTAAACCTGATTGTTTGTTTACTTCACCAAAACGACTTGGTCTAGAATTGAAGGATCCATTTTCGTTTCCTTATGTCTAACAGGAACTGCTTGAATTTTGCTCTCTGTTTATGACTAGGGTAGTACCTTTTGGTGATTTATGTATTGCATATAATTATTGCACCATACTAGAAGTTCTAACATATCATAATTTCAAACCAATTATCAATGGGTTGATTTTGTATCACTTCATTGGTACTGATTAAGCGACGTGAACGACTTTTACGTCTTTGACTCATAAAAGGAATAGGCATCGGGTATTGATAATTGTTTTAAGTCTATCGGCATTATAAATTATCTAGATACTATATAAGGTTATATATATTTTAATCATTTAATTGATTTTCAAACCCGATAGACGTTCCTGAGCTTCACTTGTAGATTCCATATGAGTTAGTTTAATGGTCTGAGGCATATAAATTCAATATTTGAATAGCCTGTTTGTGGGCATCTCTCATAAGGCCAGCGTACTTCAACATTACTGGTCATTTGATTGGGCAATTAATTGTTTAAGTCAATAAATGACTTTGTCCTTACCTGTATAAGTTAATTTGACATTAACGTATATTTTTGAAAAATTTGTTAATGCTACTTTGAAACTTCCTTGTGGTTCATGCGGCAGTATGTTTTGTAGCCCTTTAATGTTTTGAGTTGAAGTTTCTTATGTGGCATCAAGTTATGAATTTGATTTTAACATAACAAATTCATATGACCTTAGACTATATGATCTAGAATCAAAGGTTAATGATCGAAATACTTGTAATTTGTTGCTTCAATGTTATAATTTGGATATGGCCTTGTTATTTTACTAATTCTAAAATAACATGAATTTTATGGCATATCCATTTTGAATTTGAATATTCAAGTTACCATATATTGAACTATTATAGTTATATTCTTGGGTGAGGTTTAATAACCTAGATAAACATGATAGTGATGATTAATTAGTTGTCACCAAAGTGACCTAATTATAATGAAGTTTATTAAATGGTTATTTATATGAAATCATGATCATAGAATTATAATTTGCCCAAAGGCATTATATTTCTATATTCATGAAATAGTTGTTATATTACCCAAAGGTATGCAACCCTTTTGTTAAATGTATACAAGTGAATAATTGTTACTCGCTTGTGAAATTGCCCAATTGAATATAATATTTCTATTATGATTTTATAAGTGAATAATTGTTCTCACTTATGGAGTGAATTGTTGGCATGTCGTTATTCAACCCAAAGGTGGGATACGATGATGCAATGGATTACTCACTTAATGTTCAATTATTTTAGTAAATCTATTAAACAAGTTGGTTTGCTATACATTAAATTAGGAAATTTTTCTATGCCCAAAGGCTAGGACTATTTCTTTAATTTATTGTTTTAGCATATGAGTTTAGATTTACTATTTTACAGTAAGACAAAATAGCATCCATACACCTTATGTTAGTATTCTTGTTTTTAACTTGCATTTTATTCCAATAATTTGTAATTATTTTCTTATGCTGGCCATATTATTCCGCTCTCTTGATTTTGGGTGCAAAATTAAATTAGCACACATGAGTGTGAATCTCACCTTAATGTGTATGTGCTAATATACTGGTTGGATACAAGTAGTGAGAGCAATTAATATTATTAATATGCTCATTAAATGTTGTATTCACATTAAGATGTATGGCTGTATCCACATTAAAATGTATGGTTGTATCCACATTAAGATGTATGGTTATTACCCTTAAAGTGATTAAAGTCAAAATTTTCATAAATGTGGTTGTGGAATTATAGTATA